ACGTAACACTAATGACTAAGAAGATAATAATAATGGTAATAACGAAGGAAATTAATTGCGTAATGGAGTGATTATTCGACTAATCTTCGAAATAAACACGGTAAGCTAATCTAATATCATCATTGAATGAATCCTAGATTACACTAAACTAATGCTCCGTCCCCTTTCTCTTTTCCTCCTGTGTTTGTTTTGTTTTTTTTTTTTTTGTTATCCTCCTCCTTGATCGCGAGTCCCACACGCGATCATCAAATTACGGTAGGTATCGCCACGCATAGTTTTAACCATGCTAATCGTTATGTGTGATGTTCGATAAATTTGGGCAATGCCTTGTTTTTCGAACATATGGTAAATGCGCGTGCACCCGGTTCAATAGTGTCGCGACAGTATTCCTTGCAGTACCTTTCCTTGCGATGATTCCATTGCATTCGCAATAATTTCTCCGATGTAGAAAGCATACGCGAGGGCTTTGATCCGGTCTTTCTCTTGTTGTGCCCTTCTCATTTGTCGATACATGGTCGCAATACCCGTCGCAATATCTTGATTTCCTTTGTATGGGCGGAGTAAGATCTCTGGGTGTGTCGGTTCAGTTGCTGCTAGATCCGCAGCGATTGTGGTAAGGTCGGTATTCGGCTCGTCCATATTCGTCGTCCTTTCCCTTCCGTTCATTCGCCTTTTATGTCTTTTTTTTTTTTTTTTTTTTTTAGCGCCAAGTCTTTTACTGCTGCCAATGTCCCGCGGGTTCTTCATACTTTTTTAACAACTGTTGATTGATTGGTTTCTTCAATATTTTCCCATCTACTGTGCGCAACCGGTATACGGCGTTTGGTCGTACCTCGTGTACATAGAATGGTCCTACCCATTTCGGGTCTAGCTTGTTGCTCCGTGAATTTTCCTGGGACGCTTTATACACCAATACTTTGTTCCCAATAGTAGGATTTTCCTCACCTCGACTTCCCCGATCGTGTCGCGCCTTCATTCTTTGTTGGGTGGTGTTCACACGTATCACCGTGTTTCTTCGCTGCCGCGGCAGCACCTCTATTAGGTCGGAAATTCGTCGGTGCATTGTTCCTCCCATTGATTCGTTGCTTTCTGTATGATGGATTGGGGTCCGTGCCTCCCTCCCGTAGGTCAAATAAAATGGTGTCATCCATGTCGCTTTCTGGCGCGCTGTTCTGTACGCGAAGAGTACCGAAGGTATCATTCGGTCCCAGTCCGTCGCATCGTGTACTAGCTTGGCGATGGCCTTACATAGTGTGCAGTTAAATCGCTCCACCAGTCCATTCGTTTGTAGATGGTATGGCGTCGAATATAAGTGGTTGATACGGAACTTCTCTAAGAAAGCGTTTAGCATACGACTCCTAAAGTTTGCGCCTTGATCGAACAATAGGTAGGTTGGGTATTTATGCCGGCATACTATCTTCTCGTAGATAAACTCTGCTACCTTCTGCGCTGTCGCCTCCCCCAAGGCTCGAGCCTCCGGCCACTTCGTCATGTAGTCGGTGGCGACTACTATGTAGCGATTTCCTCTAGGGGTAATAGGTAAGGGGCCCACTATGTTGATTCCCACCTGTGCGAATGGTTTTCCCATAGGTATGGGATGTAGGGATCCTCGCCGCTTATTCCTCCCTCTTCTTTGACACTGGTCACAGGATCGCACATACGCTCGAATGTCTTCGTACAGCTGCGGCCAGTAGTATAGGTCTCGGATCTTATTGAACATGACGTCTCTTCCTAAGTGTCCCCTAAGCGGATGGTTATGCGTCAGGTATAAAATGGGTCCTATCTCGTGATGCCGTAATACCTTCAGTAGATTACTCTTCCTGTGCTTGTCCCTTTTATAGACATCTCCCTCTTTTATCACGAAGAAACTGCTCTGTGCTTGTATCCTTTCTGCTTGTTGCCGTGAGCACCCCACAGATAGTCGTTGTTCTTGTAAGTATCTTTTCAATTGTCTGTATCACTCTTCATCCATCACGTTTATCCATTTTTATTACTATTACTGTTATGATTATCGTTTGCCAGGACACTGGAACCTGGGCTGGATTCTGTTCCTCGGATTTTTGGTCTATCTTCTTCGTTATTTCCGCGTTTGTCATTATTTGCGTCTTTTCTTTCTTTTTTTTTTTTTTTTTTTTTGCTATTGGTCTACTATATTACTGTTTGAGGTGTCTGTTTCATCGTGCGAGTGGGTTGGGTCGTTTTTCGTTCGTTCAAATCGACTATTTCCTTCGTTTCCTTTTTCTTTATCTTCCTCGCCATCCTCACCTTTCGCCCTTTTCTTACCGCTAGTTAAATGGGACAGGGCGTCAGCGTTGGAGTATTTCTTCCCGGCCCGGTGCAGGATTGTATAGTTGTATGGTTGAAGGCGGAGGACCCATCGTGCTCTCCTACCCCTTAGCTTTGAGGTCTCCAGCCATCGTAGTGCCGAGTGATCAGTAACCACTATGAATGGTTTCGTGCCGAGGTAATGGTGGAAATACTCAATCCCCCATACCACCGCCAAGCACTCTAGCTCTGTCGCAGCGTAATTTCTCTCAGCCTTCGACAAGCTTCTACTGGCATACGCGATCACGTATTCCTTTCTCGCGTTGTCAACCTGAGCTAACACTGCTCCCACACCTGTCCCCGACGCGTCGGTATGTAAGTAGAATGTTCTTTCGAAGTCTGAATACCGCAGGATCGGAGCCGTGATTAGGTAGGTCTTTAACCGCTCAAATGCGACTTGTTGTTTGTCTGTCCATTCGTACCACACTTTTTTCTCAAGCAGCTGGTGCAGCAGTTTCGCGATCGTCGCGAACCCTCGAATGAACCTTCGGTAATATGAGGTGAGGCCTATAAAGCTTCGTAGCTGCTTTATATTCCCCGGAGCAAGGAAGTCCCTCACCTTTACTATCTTGTCCTCATCCGGCCGGATGCCGTCTCTTCCCACAACATGTCCTAAGAAACCTACATTTGGTAAGAAGAATTTGCACTTCTCTGTATTTAGTTTTAGCGAAGCTCGACGTAGCTCTCCAAAAATGCAGGTTAGATGGCTAATATGCTCTAAAAACGTTTGCGAGTATACTATGATGTCGTCCAGATATACAGCCACGAATTTTCCAAGGTGGTCATATAGTACCTCATTCATTAGTCTCTGAAACGTCGCCGGGGCGTTGCACAGCCCAAACGGCATCACGCGAAACTCGTAGGTTTCAAATTTCGTCACGAAGGCTGTCTTTTCACGGTCCCTTTCATGGACCCGTACTTGCCAGTATCCACTAGCGAGGTCGAGATTCGAGAACCATCTTGCTCGTTCGAGGGTCTCAATCAAGTCGTCGATTCTTGGTAGTGGGTAGGCATCCTTCTTTGTCACCGCATTTAACTTCCTGTAGTCTACACATAGACGTCGCTTCCCGTTCTTCTTGGGTACTATTACAATTGGTGATGCCCATGGGCTCCTCGACTCCGCAATTAGCCCTTGACACCTCATTTTTGCCAACTCATCTTTCACGTATTCATGCTCATCGGGGGCCATTCTATACAGCATTTGCTTGATTGGTTTAGCGTCACCAGTGTCAATCTCGTGTTGGATCACGTCGGTTTGAGTAAGTTCGTCCAGCCCCCTAGTGAACAACTCCTCTTCTGCTTCGAAAAGTTTCACTACTTCTACCCTTTCTTCCTCCGACAGGTTGTCCAAGTCTACCTTTGGTTCTTCGGTGGTGGGCTCCCCTTCTTCCCACGTCGGTACTTCCTCCAGGGTGGCCAGGTAAATGGCGGGACTTGGGATCTCTTCGCAGGTCGTCTCTTCTTCTTCGGATCGCTCCTCTGTATAATACCCTTCCTCTTCCTCCACCTCCTCACTCTCATACTCCCATTCATCGAAGGCGTCTCCGTTTTCATAGTCGCCCGCCTCTGCCTCGTCCGGTCGCGCTAACCCTTCGAGACCATTGTGCGAAATGGGCACTTCCAATTCTTTCTCTTGATACTTCAAGAGTATTTTCCGTTCATCAAAATGTATCCGGGCCTTCCCCTTTTGGAACCAGTCGGTCCCCAGTAATAGTGTCTCGTCTCTAGATTCAATAACTCTCAGAGTCACGGGGATGGTTACTCCCTGAATGGTTATACCCACTTCCCTAGCCTTCCCCAAGGTCCTTTCTCGAGTCCCGTTAACGGTGACGACGACGGAGGTGGATTTCTCGTTCACTTTTAAGCGAAGTTTATCCAGTAGTTTTTTTGTTATTATACTCACTGCTGCCCCCGTGTCCAGGGTGGCGACCACAGTCTTATCCCCAATCCTCACATAACATTTTGCTGCTGTTGTCTTAAAGGTGTCCGCAGAGCTCACCTGATTCGCTTCTTCCGACGGCTTGGCTCGCTTCAATATCTTGAAGAGATTGCGCCGCTGGTCAGTGTACTTTAACAACTGTCCATATGTCACGTTTGCTTTCATCATTAGGATGTCCTCCGAGATGTTGTACGGATCGAGCACATCAACGGTTGACAGCATTCTTTTCCGCCTGGATTTCTTGGTGACACCGGTTGTCTTGGGGGGGTGTACGATCACCATTGGTTCCTGCGCCCTTATAACTTTTGGTGCCTTTCGTGATTCTTCCGCGTCTTTTCCTTCTTGTTGCCTCGGCCGACCCCTCTTCCCTGCAGTCCCTAATGTGTACGCCTCCTCCTCTTCTTCCTTTTCCCTCTCGTTTTCTCCCACTTCGTAGCAATATTGCACTTTCGGAGTCGTGGTCCTAAAAAACTCCTTCCGTGCCTCTCCTCCAGTACACTGTCGGGCTATGTGCCCTTCTCTTCCACAACGATAGCAAACCACGCCCTTTCTTTCCCCGCCCCTCCGTTCTCGTCGCGGCTCCCTCCATTGGTTCTCTCAGTTTGTCGTAAGTTCTTTAATTTGTTGCTTGAGTCGTTCTATATTGCTCTCCAGTTGTTTTGTCGCATCCCTTGTTCTTCTCCGGGTCTGTTGCTCATAATAGTTTCCTGCTTCCACCCTACGTGCCGCTGCAATTGCTTCTGTCAAATCCTTAGGCGACGTCATGGCTATGAAAGTAGCAGTATTGCCCTTTAATCCATTTAAGAACATCCTCACTACGTAGTCACCTGGGATTGTTCCCTTTGGGTCTACCCTCGTCAATAAATGCTTAAACTTCGTAGCGTACCTATCTACCTTTTCGTCACTCCTCTGGCTTAACCCATTTAACTCTATCTGCCACTTATGTCGTTTCTCCGACGTGGCAAAATGTTCCACCAACGCATGATAGAAGCTTCGTGTCGGCTCCTCGTCATCTTTCCATACCGCAATTTCGTTTTTGTTTTCTTTGTACCAATCGGCCGCCAACCCAAGCATGTACCCCGGGGCTATTTTCAACTTCTTCCCATCCTTCCAATCATTAACCTCTGCCATTCGTTCGAACCCCTCCAGCCATTCGACTGGGTCGTCGTCCTCTTCTCCGGCGAACGGTCTCACTCTCACAGGATTAGCTTCCCACGCCCCACTCGACTTACTCGCAATGTCATTCATGGACTCGAATATACCCCTCATTAACCATTGAAATTGGTCGTCATTCATCACCAATTCACGTGGTGAGTATTCTTGTGCTGCGGTGTTCAATTGCCGGCGCGTTCGCTTGTGTCCGTGTTTTTTTTTTTTTTTTTTTTTTTTTTTTACTTGTACCTAAAAGGAAGAATTTAATTAATAAAATAACCAATGATGGTTATGACTTTTAACACATAAATACGTCCGGGGGGTAGTGAGTGTCGCGGTTATGATTGTATGGGGGGATCAGTAAGTGGTGGTGTATGTCTAACTATCGTGTATATAATAATTGTGTTCGCTAAAAAAAATCGGGAGGGGGGGTAACGAGTGTCGCGATTGTATTCGAATCTCACAGTCACCACCAAAACTGTTGGCGTGAAAATCTGGCGAGTTGGTCGTTTGAGCTTGCCTCACGCCGTGTAACAATAGGGCGGGTCTTCTTCTCAAAAGAGGCATGTGAATTTGGTCCGAGCTGTTAGATAATGAC